TGTTTGTCTCATTTTAAGGATATTTTTTGTCAGTTAGTGATTTTTGCCTAAGGTGTTTAAGGCTTGGCTGCCCTTTTTAATTAGTTTTTACAAGCTGTGATTTTAGTATAAAAATGTTGTTGTTTCATGTTGTGAATCCAATACCTGACTAAGGTCCATGACCACAATGTGATAAACCTAGTGCTGACAGTGTCCAGGAATTGAATCTTCTCTTTCATTTTTCTACACACTTGTCTACCAGGTGCATTAGACACAATTTAGTTTGAAATATCAATGTTGAAATGAAATGCTGAAAGAACCTTTCAACCAAATTTAAAAGGCGACTGCTTACTGGTAGCCTGTGATACAAGTGAAAGACTTATTGGGCTCCTCCTCTCACAGCAAAACTCAAGTATCTCGCCGTTTGATGAGCTAAACGCATCATACTTATGTTGGCTAAGACTAAGAATAGCTGACCTTTTTTTCATCACATCCACTAGGGCTGAATAACATACTCCTTCTCACTCCACTCCTCTCAAATACGGCATTAGTCAGATTACCACTATCTTCTATTCCATCATTTCTCCGTATGATCCCTCCATCCTCTGGCGGAGAGAGTGAAGGTCAGTAAGCAACAGCTCTCTCTCCCTTCTTTTGCTCCTCTTATCAGTCAGTTTCTCTCTTATCAGTTTATCACCTTCCACTTTTCATTCCCACTTTGGCACCTTAGCATTTAATTCTTCCTTCGTGTCTCCCCTTCAGCCTTCATCACTCCCATGTCCTTCTTCTTCTTCTTCTTCGCCCTTCCATTTATCTCAGTTTTGCTCTGTCATCTTAACACTCTCCCCTCTCTTTTCCAATTTTTATTCTCTTGGCTCGAATATTGGTTTGGACACAAACACATTGCAGGTCAGGCACACACACTCACACACCTGAGCAACCTCCCCTCTGTGCCTCAGGTGATCACATCACAAACACACCCACACAAGCATCACATCAATCTTGGTTTTAAGTTTGCACCCTTGAAATGCACACAGACATAAAAATACATACAGGCTACACTACACAAGTGGGCCAGTTGAATTTGCTATGCTTCTCCGCACCAGATGGGTCGGAGGAGTTGTTCCAGCTGATAAATAATGTATCGTCTACCTGTATTACTGTAAACTGAATCGATACCTCCTTGTCATAATGAATGTTTTAATGGATTTGAGTGACAGATCTGGGGCACAGGCGATTTGTAACTCTTCTGTCTGTTTTTCTGTTCTTTCTCTGTAGCTCTCTGTTGCAAAGTCCGTCTTACTAATCTGTTTGCCTGATTTTTCAGCCCTTTCTGTCTAATCTCATCTTTCTGTCTTCTATTCTTTCTCTCTCCTCTCATGTTATTTCTCAAATAATCTAACATTCACTTTCATTAAAGATACATTAAATGCAATCGGTGCAAAAACCTGACTACTCTAATTTTTCCTTTCTCTGAACCCGCGGACCTCTGTTTCTTTTTATGAATATTTAACTCTTGCCCCTTGCGTGGCCCTTTGCCTTGGCTCTTTGCCTCGGGTGTCTGAGCTGGCCAGGGCAGCTGACGAGCAGCCACAAATACTTTCCCAAACACTGGAGCCATAACACCACCAACTCTGCCAGCGCAGGACAAGCCACTTACATTATGTGTATTTCGCCAAGGCACTTGTCAAACTCAACCTACGGCGAGTACAGCGAGTCATTTAACAAGCTGAAATTCCATTATGGAGGACTGATAACAGGACAGAGCACATGGGACAGATGTGACGTAGAATAGAATATACAAAATTTGGGGACGATAACCACAACAAATAAGCTCTGACCATTCTCCTTCTGCTTCTTTGACATGTGAGTATTCAAAACCACATGACAGTTAACAGAAAAAGAAATGGAAATCTTGACTAAATGTGCCAAACACAGACAAACAGCAGTCAGTATAACCTATAAAACTGATGTTACCCATCTTTTTAGCAATGATTTAATAACATGTAACTCATGATAAGGTTTATTATTAGCTTAATATAGTTAATGACGGTGAGCATTTTTCACATTTTTCCTTTATTAAGTAGATTGCCATTATTTTATTGATTTATTTGAGTGCAGAAATCCACAACACGCCGAAAATCTCTTGTAAAGTCAATATGGCTACATGTTAGCAAACTAATGCCTGAATACACTTCGTCCAGCATCCAACATTAGCATTCATTTGGAGTTAGTGTTTCTGGCCACCTGATCACTCTTCACTCTCTATTTTTCATCTTCAACCAACTCATGAGAAAAATGTCTCTTTAGCTGCTAAATGCTCCACTATGCTAGTACAGTACAATGGGTTTGTTAGAATCTCTTTTAGCTAAAAACAGCTCAGTGAGGTTGATGAGAGCAGTGAGACTGAACAAAAAGAACAAAGTTTCAAGCCATAAAACGAAAAACAATGAGCTTACAATGCTGAGACGCTCCATAGAGCTGAGGAAAACTGCAGGGTTGCTAATTCTCTATGTGAGCAGCAGCTTTCACATACAGTTTCACACAGTCATTGGATGCCTTGTGAATATAAAAATGATTTTTGCAGCTTTAATTTGAATATCTTTTTCTCTCTTTTATTTATCAGCATGTTTTTATAACTTAACAACTCTTTCTTAATGGTATTCATTACTGACCTTCTGAACTTGAACTTCCATTTCTTGTAATATAATTTGTCTCACTGTAAATAGTTTAACATCGTATTATGTGGCACATAGCTGGGTCAGTCCAGAAAGACCTAATGAACACACCAAGAGACGCTGACCTCCACTAGCTCAGACACAACGTACTAATGTCATAAAGAATATTTTGTCTCTTTGTTATGGACAGACACAACTGAAATGCACCAGCCAAAATTGCAATTGGTGGCTGCCAGAGTCAAGTCATGTCAGCCTTTCTCAGTGACACATGCCCTACAAAAACACAAAGATAAGGACAAACTGAGGTAAACACAAGAAAATGCTAACGCATGACATAAAAACTGACTACAAACTAACAATCAGGCATGAACACAAGATGTTTCTGCCAACAGTCGACACAATCAGCAGCACTATCAACTTGTCCTAGATGAATTAATAAGTGAAGACGTTGCGCACAGACACACAAACATACACACACTTGCAAGCCCCTGATTCATATTCACGCTGAGAGCTAACAACAGCTGGAATCTCTGTACATTAGACTCACAGCCCTGCAGTCAGATTGGAGGGCATCCACAACCACAGAAACACCTTACATGATCTCTCACACACACACACACACAGGTTCACTTGACCCCATTCACTCTGTTAGACCAGTTACTGCGGGTGTTTATGTGCGCCATATCAATACACAATTTGTCAGTCTGGGAGACAGAGTGTGTTCAAGGGGGTGTATAGTAGTTTAGTCACATTTATGACTTTTTAAGTGCAGCATGATGTGGAATCCAGCTGTAATTTTCGTGGTTATTAGTTGGGATTTTAACCAGTCCAGGTGTGTGTTATCGCCTGGCTGTGGGTGTGTTTTGCCACTTGAAAAGCCCTTCTCTCTTTGGCAGAAATGTTCTTGTGTGAGGACTGAGCTTTTGGCAGATTTAGCAGAATAACAGCGCAGAGTGCGTACAGTTAAGTGTGAGCTGTGTGTGTGTCTGTATGTGTGCCCGTTTTTGAGTGTAGCCTACTTCAGTGCGGCGTGGAAGTGAAGGTGGATAACAACTTGGAGGAGCTGCTGTCTTCAAGTGGCCTTCCTCTCAAGCTCCTTGTCCCCTAATCTCCTTCCTGTTTCCCACAGGCCCTGGCCTAAGGGTCTTCCCTAACCTCCAGCTCACACGTTGACACACACATACTTAAGTGGGGTAAGTCACTTGCATACACGCACACGCTGTTCTTAATGGGAGCATAGGAGTCCAGCTTTTTTGAGCACCATCATTAACCATCTGGACTGAAGGGCCAAAGCACACCCCTGTGCAGGCTGTGTGCGTGTTCAAGTGTTTGTGCAAACGGGAGGGGCTAGCCAGAAGGAAAAAAAACAGCTACAAAAGGACACACTCATCCCCTAAGCCTTATCTCTGCCTTCAGGCCCCGGAGAGACAATGCAGTTAGATCAATGGGATGCACACTGACAGCTATTATAAGCAAGGCCACATTGTTACAAGGCATAACCTAGTTCACCTGCTTAAAACTAAGCTCAATTAACATTTACAGCAGAGATCATCTCCACTTGCCCTCGCTGAGAAGGTCGCAAGGCACGTTGTTGGGTGATTTCTTTGTTTGCTCTAATTCAATACCCGGCTATTTAAGGAATGGGCGGTTAAGGTGGCTGGTGCTCTCCTGGTAACTGTAACACAGATCTGCTGATTTGTTGGCTAAACTTGAGACATTATTGAGACATGAAGGGGATTGTATCTCAGAGAGAAGCAGGGGAACGAAATCTTCAGATTACTCTGACTCTGAGGTCAAACCATTAGTTCTGGAGAGTGTGTGTGTGCGCGTGCCTTAGAGAGAGTCTGCATCTGCGCACAAGTCTGAGCGCATGTGGAATGTGTGTTTGCATACATCACAAAGTAAGGAGAGAGCAATAGAGCAATAAGTAGCCCACCGTCAGGTAGGCTATGACCAAGCACCCACAATCAAATTATCTAAATGAGCTGATGTGACAATAACAAATGATAAGACCTTGGAGCACCTTTGGCTCACAGTTTTTGCAGGGGAATTGTTTTGTTTACTTGCCAGGAAACTGGACAGCAAGAGGATCCTGCTTCCAGAGCCAAATAAACAAGAGACCATGTGCAAGAGGTCTGACTGTTGCCACCTGAACAGGAACATGCATGGGCTTATAGACCTCTTTTTGGCAAGGGATACATGCAGGATGTGTTTTGATTTTCATTATGGACTTCCACTGCCAGAACAAGTGTTCAACTTTTTTTGACAGTTTAGATCACCCTAAATGTATGTGTGTGCCAGGAATGAAAACTATGTGTTTTTAATTTATTTTCCCGTCCTCACCTTGGAACTTGAAGCCCTCTATCTGCACCCAGAGGCAGAGGTCCTCCGTGTCACAGTCGCAACTCCAGGGGTTGCCGCTGAGCCCCAGAGACCGCAGAGCAGGGAGGGCGATCAGGCTGCTGATGTTGAGGGCCGTCAGGTTGTTCCGGCTCACATCCAGCACCTGCAGAGCCATGTTCTCCGAGAAGGCATCTGGGTGGATCTCCCCCAGACACGGGTTATCCGTCAGCCGGAGCATGACCAGAGACGCCAGGGGCCCGAAAGTCCGGTCCTCGATCTGCAGCAAAGTGTTGAACGACAAGTCCAGGTATGCGAGTTTTCGCAAATTCCCAAATGTGGACTCGGAGATCTCGGTCAGAGAGTTGTTGCTGCAGTCCAGATAGACCAGGTCGGACAGGTAGTTGAGCTGCAGCGCCGGAAGGTCCCCGATGCGGTTGTTGGAGATGATGAGCTGCCGGGTTGCTAAGGGCAGGTCATTGGGGAACACGGTGAGCTCCTGCCCGGCGCACTGGACCACCAGCTGATCGTCGCACACGCACCTGTCTGGGCAGCCGGCTGTGAGAGCCGGGGAAGGGGTCACCCCCATCACGAAGATAAAGAGGAAGAGGATACGGAAGGACTGGGCGCTGGGCTCAGGCAACAGACGCATGACGAGGCCACCCAGAGCGTCATGAACTCGGGCTGAGCTGGACCAGGACTCCCCGGCGCTCTCCGGGCATCCTGCATGAGTCTGAGGAGCTGTGAGAGAGGCGAGGTGGCTGCTCTGAGTGTCTGGCTGTCGCTGCCTGAAAGCCCGGCTGCTGTTTATATCCAGCCTCTCTTCTCTCTCAGAAAGACTATCGGTCAGTCACTCACACGCACTCTGGCGCGCCACGCATCTCGCCACGAGACATCATTTCAGAAGGTGACCGAAAGACGCGTTTTGCTCTGTGGGAGAGCTTACCGGGCTTAGTCCCGCCTGAGGAGACCACAGAACCACTGGATGTTGGCGATCGCCCCCTCGGTGACTCATCTTTGAGAATAGTTGTCGCCGGCGGAGCGCATTGTTTATTTACTTTCCAAACAAATGCCGTGACTTGCCCAAAATTGATTGATTGAATCCTGGATATCGACTCCCCGTTCACAAACGTCGTTGGCTGTATTGGTCTGAGTGTGTGTGTTGGGGTCTGTGGTACCCCACTGTCCAGCAGACAAGCCGGTTTTTCTTAGGCGCGCGATGGAAAGTGCGCCCTTCCACTGCGCTCTGACAGCTCTGTGTGACTGTGGCTCTCTGCTCCGCTGTAGTGACAGGGCTCTCTGCGCTCCCTCCCTCACCGCCTATCCATCCGCACAAACTGCAGCTCTGCACACACACACAAGTAGCCTACTGTTTGTGTTGTGTGTGAGTTGGCAATGGTGTGACTTACAATGCTGCCGTCACCAGGTGTCGCTCTCTTGAGACGCCCGAGTATACAGACTGCTTGTCCGGCCAGAGAAACTCAAAGATATGTGAGGAGAATAGGTCTCTCTCTCTCTCTCTCTCTCTCTCTCTCTCTGTGTGCGCGTGCATGAAAAAACAAGTCAATCATAATCTTGCCTGAAAGCAGCGCAGCCTCTTAGCCATGCACAAATTTAACAGGCCTTATCTCATGTGGTCCAGTGGCTAATTTCTCCTGATTCTGTCCCCCAGCGGCTTGTTGACAACATAATGCTTTCAAATTGGATTGTGTGTGCTCAATTATTATTATTTTTTTGGCATACTCAATTTAAATTGGGAAGTGGAGTCACACGTTCAGCTGTCATTTTTTGGTCTGAACGTTGGAAGGAGGCTGACTGCCACCTCTCGCGTCTTTGCTTCAGTGTCTCATTACTGTGCCATTTAATGGAACAAAAGCAGTTGAAGATAGATTTTGGATGAAGATTATACCGTAATGCTAGGTGGTGTGATTGTTGCCACTCCAACCATAGTTCTGCCATGCCTCAAGTGTCGGAAATGTGAATAGGCCAAGCCTAAATAGGCTACAGAAAAAATAGTTAAATTAAAGCGAGGTTTAATTATTATTAATTATAATTATATTATTATTTTGATCATAATTACCGATCATTTATGCCTTTTAGAGGTAATTCATCTTTTCTTTATTATTTGCTATTTGTTGTGAAATAGGGCCTATATGTATCCCTTAATCTGCATTAAAATTCAAATTTAGCAATCTGATAAGGGAAAAAGTCTTCAGTCTTCAACTGAAGATCTCACAACTCACTGACAAGCAAAGGAGGGGACACAATTAGCTTAGTCATAGGTGACCTGATGATGGCGCTAGATGAAAAATCAGGGGATTGCCAAAGTTATTACAAAACATACTGAGGGGGGCACAGATGTTTGTATAGCAATTTTTATGGCGGTCCATCCATGTTGTTGAGACTTTTCACAAAAACTTGTCAACCCCAAAAGATGAAAGGGGATAACTAAAGTCAAGTAGGATTCATCTGTTTGTGAACTGCATGGAGAATTTAACACAATGTGTTGGTCCATCTCTGATTACTTTCAGACTGTCCTACCCTGTTTGTGGCTCTCAGCTTTAAGCCAAATCATTCACACTGAAGATGTAAATCTTTGAAGAAGGCTAAATAGTTTCCTGAAACAGCTATGGGCACTGTAGTTTGAAGGAAACATTACTGAAACAGGAGTAAATAGTGCATTTTGGAGGCCTATTTTCTGCTGGGGATGAATACACATTTGGAGCTCTGGGGAGTATTTATGTCAGCAGGATGATGCATGTAAGAATAAACTACAGTGCCCATGTTCACCTTAATGCAGTAACATGTCAGCCAGTGCACGCCAACGCCATGCCTCTAGCGATGTCATGCCTACGAGATGGATCACCCCTAATTTTTGTACAGACATTTGTGTGAGGAGGACACAAATATCTGTACCAGACTTTTATGGTGATCCATCCAGCGGTTGTTGAGACATTTCACTAAAACGTGTCAACCCCAATAGAGGAAAGAGGATCATCGGGGAAATATGAAGGTCTGGTCCAAACTAACTGACTAAATAGTTGTTGAGATATTTCAGTCTGGACCCTATATAATCAAGACAACTGAATCCTCATGGCAGCAAAATCAGACAGGGCATAGCTAATGAATAATGTGTTGTTAAAAAATTACCCCTTTGACACTGACAGCCTCTTTGCTCAGCTTTTCATTTCAGGGCTGCTGTGGTCAGGCATGGATATCTATCTTCAGTCTGATATATCATTATAGAAGGAAAGCGCTACCAAGCACAGAGCAGCCTGGAGGAAAATGAGCCCATTTGATCAGTGTCGCTTTCTGCCGGCCGGTGTGCTCCCTCTGTCATGAGTCTGCAGTCTAAATGGCCCTGCTGGATCGTGTTCGCAGATAACTGCCTCGGTAAAGCCTGACGATCAGAATCATTAATGTAACTTTGCTCCCTCACTGCTCCAAACGGTGTCAGCTTCCAGAAGCGCTGTGTATCCACGTGCACGTGTGTGAGTTTGTGCAGTTGTGTGTGCCATGGAAACATGATATGTGGAGGTCTCGTGTTGTGCGGTCATGCATGCAGTACATGGATATGTGTCATACTTGTCTACATGGATGTTCTTTGGATTGTGACAGTGAGTGGGCGAGGCTGAGAAACATCCTTATTTTTTAATAAGGGTGTATGCCGTGTCGGCTGTCAACTGCCAGACAGCCGATATGATCTCCAACCTGAGAAGATGGGCCACCGTTTCCATCAGAGGTGTCACTCACCTTTGCTTCACATCTTTAAGTCTCTCCTCGAAGGCATCCCTGGACTAAATAATGACAAGTAGATGTTTTTCATATACCAGCAGAATATTTTGGATACAAGCTGAGCTCTGTCCCTTTCTCTTCCTCCATGTGTAGCAATTACTCTTCTTGCCCTTTCTCTCCCCGTCGCTCAGTATGGTTGTAACTCTTCTTCTCCCATCTTGCTCCACTATCTTTCAGGCTGCTAGTCTGAGGCTCTTTTTTCTTTTTCAACTCCATCATTTTACTGTAATTGAACCAAGAGTACGATCAGTCACCCTGACTGCCTCTGGACTGGATGATGTGTTTGTGTGGGGGTGTGTATAATGCCTATACGCCTCAGTATTGCAATAAAGAAAACAGATGTGAAATTGGTCTTATAAAAGTTTTGTGAACTGCTGGGCATGGAGAATTGATGTGTTTGTCCTTGGGCGGCATGGTGGTGCAGTGGTTAGCACTGTCGCCTCACAGCAAGAAGGTTGTGGGTTCAAACCCCGGTTTGTGTGGAGTTTGCATGTTCTCCCTGGCTTCCTCCCACCATCCAAAGACATGCGGACTAGGTTGATTTGTGACTCTAAATTGTCCTTAGGTTGTTTGTCTATGTGTGGCCCTGCGATGGACTGGCGACCTGTCCAGGGTCTACCCCGCCTTTCGCCCGATGTCAGCTGACCCTGTACGCAGGATAAGCGGTTGACGATGGATGGTGTTTGTCCTTCTCTGGTTACTTTCAGACTGTCCTGGCTCTCAGCTGAAGATGTAAATCTTTGAAGACAGCAAAATTGTTTCCTAAAACAGCAGTAGTGGGCACTGTAGTTTTAAGCAAACGTCACTCAAACACAGTATACTTTATACATGCTATTAGCTTTGTCGTTGTGCCTGAGTACAGTCTCACAGGGCCACTGGCATGAAAGTGTCGTTAACAGATCTGAGCAACAATGAAGATGTATGGCACAGAGGAATAAGTTATACCAGACTTTACTACACCAAACATTGTTGGTTTTGGTCTTTTAATGGGATTTGTTGACAATAAGAAAAAGATAGAATAGCACCCAGACTTAACCTTTAATAGGTAAAATGTTTACAGGTAAGTATTGATCAGTAATAGATCAATATCGGCAAGTGCCACTGACTCCACATCTTAACCGGATGGTTCTAGTGCGGCGTTGATTCTGCAGTATCAGCAGAGCGTATCAATCCATTCCACCCTGCCTCTGTACGCTTTAGTAAAATGAATGTGCTCACATAATGGCAGCCCAGTCCTGCCCATTTACACATGCTAACAAACAAACACATACGCACACACACAAATCTGTTTCACCTCAAACAAGCATCTTCTTGTATATTCTTTATTTTTATCTCCATCACTTTGCCTTCCACTACAAACACTCACATACACATGTACCAACACAAAGACATGAGAACAGACATGGTAGTGTTGCACAACTGTTGTCTTTTTCTGTGATTTTGTAAATAGCTCCTTAGATGAGATAAAAACAGCCTGGCCTGAGGGATTTTCTTTTACAGGTGACTACGAAGCAAAAGTCCATGAATGCAGACTAAACTTATAGGAAAGAGAACCATCTGTGTTAGCATTGCAGTATACTGTATGTGTGTGATAAAACACCACAAAGGTCAAACACACTGTACATGCCCCGAGCAGATCACTGTGCTGTCTCGCTCTTGACAGACAGCTGCAGTAACAGGATGCCACTCACTCCCTCTGACTCATGCCTGGCCTCGTGCTCCGTCACCAGGCCTCCCTGCCTGAGCTCAGCCCCAGGTTTTGATGAGGCTGAGGATGGAGGGCTGTCTGCGGTGGTCTACTCACAACTCTGCCCCCTGACCACCTCACCTCCTGCCTTTGATGGGGGGGGGGGGGATTGAGGAGGTGTTAAGGGAAGTTGATGAACCATTTGTTGGAAAGGGGTAGTGGAGTTCACGTCTCTTTGGACTGCAGTCTGTCACTAACCCAGTGGGCAGGTGATGAAGGAATCAGGCAGCAAAGGCCTTTAGTGAAATGCCAAACAAACGGAGCAGAACAACAAGACAGAGTCCACGCTCACTCTACCCTCTGATACAAGGCTGACCCCTGCAGGATTGGAGGGGGAATGCTGTGCGATGGGCATCAACTAAAGTGTGTCACGCCCAAGATATTTGTTGGTGGGGGGTAAATCTGTCCAGTTCAATCCAGGAAACGGTGCTGCAAGCAGGACTTGAAGGAAGCTGGAGGGAGGAGACATGCATCAAATTCAAACATTTTCTGGACAAAACAACTCCTCTCTTCTCAGTTTAAAAAAAAATAATGGCAAACATGGCCTGTGTGTGTGTGTGTGTCTCAGCGTCCTTGTTCCTGCAGCGGTTTGTGTGTCCAACCTCTGTGTCTTGTCCTGGGACAGACTGGCTGTCACTCACATGCCCTCGCACTCAAGTGTCATCTACCATCAGTTTTCCATCCCAAGGCACGCACACATGAGAGGAGGAATA